CACAAGCCGGGACAAAAGTGTCCGCGTGAAGCGCGAGGGTGAAAGTTGTACTTACAGCACGCAGAGTGCATACGCCGAAGCAATTGACTCACTGGCCCGCACAAGGAAGCTGCCATCCTTGCCTACTTTGGAGAGCAGGTCCTCGGCTCTGGAGCGAGTAATGTTGCCGTGGTACCAGCACTGATCCATAGCTGGAGTTGGAGGAAACCTGAATGTCAGTACAGGAGCTGCCAGAGCTGCCTGTGTGCCTGTGTGTAACGATCAAGCAGCTTTAGCTCACCAGCTTCCTGTTTCAATAGCGCAGAGAGGGAAAGGAAACTCAGCCGCGGACAACTTCCTTAACTCAAACAGCTCAGAGAGTGAGCGTGACATGTTCCTGCAGCCCCCGCTCTCTCTCTTCATGCTACAAGTGAAGCGAGTAGCAAGCCCTTGTTCCCTGCCTTTCCCTCCCCCTTCACATCCTAACACTCTGCATCAAAAGTCCCAGCTGGGGAGCCGGTCCGCTCCCCAGCTGATTCAGTCCCACAGGCTTTGGTGGCCTCCTGTCCCATTTCTGATCTGTTACCAGACCCTTTGAGTTTCCATCTTTTTTCTGTCCGTCTTTCCTGCCCACTGCAGGTTCCCATGGGGAATAAATAAATCCTAGACTGATCAGAAATACCTCGTGCATTAGGATCCTCAGCGCTGACTGCCCCATTCCTGCCTTGTGTAGTCCTCACATATAGCTAGGTGTGAGGAGGGGACTTGAAAGAACTGACTAAAATTACCCCTCCGTGTTTCCAGGCATGGGGACAGGCTTACAGGCTGATTTGTCTGGGAGTTTGTGACCAAAGCTCCCTGATAGTTACTGTTAGATGGATTCAAAGGTCTTTCCTACTCCAAATCCCCAAAGGAGGGATGGAGCAGAGCGATTCTGGCAGCTACGTCAGAGAGGGAAGAACTGGGGCTTTCATTTCCCTTTTCTTAGTCTGTACATCTGCCACTTGCCTGTGCTCTTCGTGGCATGCTCAGTGCTGCAAGTCCAAGGCAACGCCACCAAGGCGTGTTTGCAGCCAGCAGGGACTTTGCTACGGGGGCACTGGCCACACGGCACACGCAGGTGCCTCTCCGGTGCCTCCAGCCACTCTGCGTTTGAGGAAAGTGCTTCTGCACATCCACATTTGAGCTGTAACCAAAAGCAGCTGCCAGGCGGGGACTCTGAGTACCGAGGGGGGAGTCCCCAGGCGATGTGAAGACACTTCTAGCCTTATGCAAAGCTCACCTCCCAGCGCCTGGGAAGTGCTGCGGCCATGGTGCACGGGTCATACTGCTGCTCTCCTGCAGCAAGGCCTCAAACGAGACAGGGAGAAACTAGAACTTGGGATACGAGGTTGCATAAACCAGTACAACGTAGTGTTCATCCCTGTCTGCCTTCCTCACGCTTGCACATCTACTCTGCAGTGTCCAGTTTAATTTCTGCTGCTGGGTTCAAATTGTGGGCACAAGCATAACTGCAGAGTTCAGAATGCAAAAGTATGGGACCACTGTAGGACCTCGCTGAACGGGCAGAGCTGCTCTGTGCAAAGCTTCCTATCCACGCTGAGCAAGCACTGTTTGCAGACCAAAATTACACTACGGCTTCACTCAGGTCCACAAAGGGCTTTGGGAACCAAACTTCATTGGTTTAGGTGCCTAAATAGGAGTCAGATGCTGAAAGCCATGACGTAGCTCCACATGGACGGTAGCTGTAAGCTCTTGTAAGCTACGGTGTGGCTGCAAATCCTATTCTCCACTGGGAAGAGTGCTTGCATGTGGCAAGGGGATTGTGTACCCACTTTGACTGTTTTGCCCTGCCGCAGCGTGCTGCTAACCTCACCTCTGACATCTGATACTTACAGTATAGCTGCAGCAGGAAGCAGGGCAGCTCTGAACGTCAAAGCGCTGCTTGACCTCACGGCACTCTCTATGCAGCGGAGCCATACGTTGATGCAGAACGAACGGCGCTGCTGCACAAGCTGAGTGCTGCTGGAATGAAACTGTCTTTGGAGAGCTTCTGCTGATCTACGGCATATTAACACAGGGTAACAGAGGGGTACAAGCCCTGTTCAGATAGCTGAAAGACTGATTAGCTGGATATTGAACACTTAACCCATCCCTCCACTGGCTTCAGCATTTAGCAAACTACTGTTATTTCCATCAGATGTGTGACTCCTGTGCCCTGCTGCACAGCACTCCTCAACCTGGAGATATAAACAAGGGGATGGGATCCAAACGTGTGATGACTGTGGCACTGTGATGTGCAGGCTGGTTTCTGTATGGATTCCTCAGTCCTAAAAGAAAGCACAGTACAGCTCCAGGTGCTCAAAAGGTGAATCCCAAAGCACTAATACAAACAGCTGTGTGATCCCTAACGGCTCACACACAGCACCGCCTGAAAAGGAAACGGTGTCTGTTTTACTTCTCATGGAGCTAGCACGTGAAGTCTGCGACACTGAGGAAAGACTGATCCCTGCAAGGTCCTGAGCTATCTGCAGCCTGATTCCCAAAGGATAGCATGTACCTTACTCTGTCCTGCACAGAGACGGAGGCAGATACTTACACCATTAATTTTCTTCCCATTCATGTCTGTGTCGGAGAAGGCCAGGGAGTAGATCTGAGAAAGAAAGTATTAGAGGAGTTACCTAGAGGGGAGCTACAACATTTGCCGTAGAGAAGTGCAGTTATCTGTGCCCTCAGTTATGTGCCAGGTGATACAGTGCAGAGGGCGACACTGCAAACGTAGCAAGCGCAACCCTAGGTTTCCACAACGAATATGCTTAGAATAGCATATTATCATCGCCCAGTTGGGGCAAAGCACCACATAAGGGCTCCCCTCATAAAACAGAAGAATAATAGGTACACCTGTCAGGCAAATCCAAAGCAGACTCAACAGAATCTCTTAGATAACCGCAGCAGCAGCAGTATTTCATTTTAATTTACTTGAAAGAATGAGGCCACAGTCAAAGAACTGGGACACGTTTCAATGTTGGATAATCAAAAATTGCAGCCCTGGCAGCCTATGGACAAAGCGAACGTTACTTTTCTCTATGTTAGGCTGTTAGTCTAAGTTGTCTCTAAGACATTGCAGTAAACATTTTTTATCTGAACTGGGTTTGCTACAGATGTCCTGGTAGTATTGTACCAGCTGGCAGTGAATTCACCAGCCTGTCAAGGACCGGCGGATACATACCGTCTGCAGCATCACTCAAGATGCGCAGGGGTCACCCAACAACCCACCACACAGCCAGCCTGCACAGCGCATCAGCAAGAGTGCTGCTGGGCTTGGCCAGAGGAAAAGCCCTCTAAGAGGCATTTTTGTGTCTAGAAGCATGAAGAAATAGAAGTATGCCTGACAAGGGAAGTTAAAGCTACAGGACAGCACTTAGCTATGCTGGAGTCTAAATATAACATTCCCTCATCAGGCACCAGTAACAGGCTATTGGCCACAAAAGCGTATTTAGACTCTGCCTACATCAAAAGAGCAGATGAATAATACCCACAAAGTACTGGTTAGTGAGCTGCTCGGCGCTTTGCAGCTGCTCCAGCCCAGTGTGTTACTGACCTGCTGCTTGGGAAAGGCTTGACAAATTACAGACGTAGTTGCGCAGGCTATAAGATCTCTTCGCTCCCTTCGTACAGCAGCTCCAGGTGCCCTGCAACAAACCTAGATGAATGAGAAAAACCAGGGACCCTCTTTCATCAACAGAGCAAATGCACGCATTTTCCTTGGTGCTATTCCATACGTGCACACACACAGCATACAGCAAACAAAGATGGACTGGTACTTAAAGCAGAATCTTGTCTAGAGACATGGTCAAACCCTTTCTGGCTCCATCTGCTCTGAAGTGTCTCCCTCGGGGGTGATTCACTTCTGGTCACTCCCTTTATCTACTCACTGTATAATACCTCCTTTCAGATTGCACCTCAGCCTCAGAAGAGGCTCTCTCTCACCAAAACTGGAACTGTTTCCTTCAGAAACCTGCTGAAAAAATCTGTCTGCTTTGGAAAGCCTTCTAGCTTGAGCGCTCTCATGCTACTCAGGGCTTGGTCAAGTCCCCTTCCTCTCGCTTCCGTGCCTTTGCAATTTGCTGGAAGCAGGGCATGGTATTTGTTAGATGCACTGCCCCATATGCCAACAACGATCTCTAACAGCAAGAGCCATACTTTCAAGGCATGGGATTGCCTGAGTTAAGAGCCATTTCTCTACGGACTATAGCTTAGCACTTGTGTTAAGAAGACCGGCAATTATTTCCCCTCCTGGCTATAAATTGGGAGCTCCCTCTGCAGACCTGTCCCGATCCTGCACTTGATACAGGCAAAGTGCCATTTCTGCCACTTGCCCCATCCCCAAACCTTGCATTTTGCCTGCGTGTGTCCTGCTGTCGCTGCCCAGGGAAAGGAAGGGCTGTGCCACGTGAGACTGTGGTTTTCTTGCATGTGAGAAGTTGCAGCTGCTTATTGCAGCGTAAGCAAAGGGGCAGCAAAGCAAGAGCAGGCAGCACGGGAAGCAAGGGAAAAGGCAACGCTAGACAGAAGTACGTCTTTGAGGGGCCTGGGAACTCAGGAAGGCAACCCTGACTCCAGCCTCATGCGGCCTCTCTGATACGAGAGACCGGCAAGCCCCGAAAGCTAGAGCTTCCAGCACTGACGGCTAAAAGGAGCGCACCTAACCGGAGCTGCAGCAGTTTTCTGGAGGAGATAACTGCAGGCGGAGGGGGAACCCCAGTGTCCTCTCCACTCCTCTCTCTCTCTCCGCAGTTTGCCGAGTATAGGTCAGCGTAAAATCGTTGCCACCTTTGTCCACGTGGTCCCTGCACCATCCACGCACACATCCCTTGCCAAGCATCCCTCAGGGCCTATCGGAGGCCCTGAGGTGAAACGCCTCGTACGAAAGTCATGCTTGTTTTGCGGACGAGATGTTTAAAACAGCAGCGAAAGGGATGAGTGAGAAGGGAGAGCAGGTAAAGGAAAACAAAACCAAACACGTTTAGTTTCAGTACGTTTAATAGACTTTGTAATCCATAGATGTCACAAGCCAATGACAAACTCAGGGCCAAAGAGGAGCAAGAAAAACCTTTCGCTGAAAGACAAGAAGTGAAAGAGAGGAGGAGGAGGAGGATCAGGAAAGGTGGTTTTCTGAGGGATCCCCAGGAGGTTTGACACTCAGGACTCTGATGGAAAGGCTTGCTTCAAAGTGAACATGACAAAGATTATCTTCTCATATTGCTTGTGAGTCCCAAATTCAAAGAGGCAGGAGAACAGGGGTGAGCCATCTGGGCCCACCCCCATGTACTGCAGATCCGAATAGGCACACAGGCCCTTGAAGAGGATGCTCGGTTTTGTCCAGGATTTTGGATTTAAAGGGCTTTTGTTGAGGTAAATTCCTAAATCCTTTCGGTCCTTCGGGTCTGTAGGGTGAGTGTAGAGCAACCAACTATCTTGGCACCTGGCACCCAGGAGAGGTGGGAAGGCAGTAACACTTCCGTGGCATCCGAAGGGAGGCTCTACCAGCGTTTCAACCCGCTGGCCTCCCTCAAAGTCCACCCCGTGGTTGTAGCTGACAGCCTGGATCCTGGCGCCCGTGCTGCTCCGCGCGTTGCAGTAGAGCGCCTCCCGGCCGCAGGCGTGCACCTCCGCCACCTGACACTCCACCGCGCTCTCCTCCTCCACGAAGTTCCCCAGCGCCCATGTGGCCCCGTGGTCGGAGCTGAGGAAGCAAAAGGCGTGAGGGGTGGGGTGCTGCCTAGGGTCAAGGACGCGATAGGCATAGGCAGGAATCACAAGGCTCCGGGCCTCGTTGAGCAGCTGCAATCCGTGACCCGGTCCCACGGCAAAAGTGGCCCAGTTCTTGTACTTAGTGCCAACGGTCCCCTCAGTGAGATCCTGGGCAGCGCTCCAGGTGCGTCCCTGGTCCGCGCTAGTGACGTGACAAAGACGTACCAGGTTGATCTTTGTCCTGAGCTGGTGCTGCTCAGAGATCTTTCCTGGGACGGCTATGAAGAACAGGATGAGGTTCCCCGAGACCTCATCGTAAACAGGACAGGGGTTCATAGATCGGTGGTCCTTCAGCTGTGCACTGACAATAGTCTCCATCCTACTCCACTACCAGGGCCCATGTGAAGGGAGGCAAGAACGAAACACAGCGTTACAAATAAATCCACGTTACAGAGCGAGGACGCCCGGACAAAAGTTGCAGGTCAGAGCATGAGAACAAGAAAGAAGAAACAAGTTATAGGATAGAGCAAGAAATGAGAAGACAATATACTGGCATCACCAAGGGTAAATGAAAATAAATGGAGATTATTTGGATAACACTGCTGCTCATGCACTTCACGTTTCACCAAACAGGTGAGCTTATCTCCTTTTTATTTACTACTCACTGAGGAGCTGATGCTGTATCTGTCAACACAATCAGCGTCCAATGACACTGTTTTGAAAACTATAGTAGCTGAACTTTCAGAAATTCTCACAAATATATGTATTTATGGATACACAGACATGCAGATTGGTCAAAATATGCGGGTACAGACACTGTGCTGTGTCAGTGCTTCTTAGGAAGTCAGCTAGCGATCCTCAGGCCCTTTCAAGTATATTGGGTGCAGACAAATTCATTTCTCATTCAGACCCCTACTCTTCCATTTTGATCATTGTATGAATGGGCATCTCATCCTGCAGTGCAATACCTTGCTGGAGCTAATCGCGGGGCTTTACACAGTCTGGTGTGGAAATCTGGGCACTGAGCTGTTGGACATCACTCAGCAAGTCAGTAGTAGAGCAGGTATACCTTTCCTCCCATCTCTCTATCGGTCTTTATGTGCAAAAGCATGCCACACAATCATGATTCTATCACTCCTGTTGCAATTAGAAAGTTACTCCTATGTAGAGTTTTTGGTTTGGTAAAAAAAACAAGTGGTGCTTTCCTATAAGATTATGCAAATTAGCTTTTCTATCCCGACTTGCTGTTTGCCCTTTTTGTTCATGCCTTATCTCTGCCTATTCAACCAGTATTTCCTTTTTTGGGATATTTCATATTTCTATTTTAAGAAACTCTAGCATATGAACAGAAGTTACTGAGTTTTTGACCAACTGAGCTCTACTTAACTGAATTAGAGGGGGTTACACAAGGTGTTACCTGAATTGTATGACAACGCAGGTGGGCTCCGAGGCTGGTTCTGTGAGACAAAGAAGGCAGACTCCAGCTCTTAGGAGTCTATAATCTAAGACAACCACTAACTGATGATGGATTGGAATAGGAGAATATAATGATTTTTTAAAACATTAATGCATTTTGCAAATGCAAGAAATGATTATAAATAGAGTATCCACCACCCCCAGTCACCCAGCAAGATAACTGTTATTATTAACTGGTGGATTAATAAGGTAGCCAATTCATTGGCACAGATAAACCAGACAACACTGTTGCATGGTGAGACTAGCTGTTCTCAATTGTTTTAATTAGTTCTAGGAGGATTAATTAAAAAAAAAAAACACAAATAAACAAAAAATCCCACACATCACTGGTTGCTAATGCACTCCTCCCCATCCCTAAGATGCTCCCCATTTCTGTCTCTCCTCCACATCTTTTCTGTAGCAACAGGTCTTCTTTCCCTTCTCTTGCACACATGCGCTCTCTCTCTCTCTCTGCTTCTCCAGCTTTACAGCAATGGCCAAAGATATCCTCCGAAAATCTACTGCTCCTGCCCTGCTTTGTTTCCCCAATGACTGCCCATTAATGAGATTGAATTCAAGCGGCTCTCATAATACCACCTACAAGCAATATGAGTGTATTTGACTCCTAAATTTGGAGAGAAGGAGAGCTGTTTACCTACACTGGATAGGGCAGACGCATTCAACTCATTTGGGGACAGGGGAGCAGAATGATTGGGCAGTCTCCCCCACTTCTTCCCCATGCTGGTACCTGAACATGGTGCGTGGTTGGGTCATACACGCCTCTGCGCATGGCGATTAGCTTGGCATGTTCATCCACCACATCCTCTCGTTCCTCTGCAAATGCCAAGATGGTGCTGAAACGTGGCAGGTAGAGCAAGGCTGGAACTCGATAGCTCCACGTACCATTCTGGAACAACGTCTCCTGCTTCAATACAGGAAGTGAAGCCATCGTGCTGGAGAAAGAGGAAGAAATGCACTACATTTTTACCCAGTCTCGGCTAAGGAAAGCATGAGAGTGGCTGGGGCAGATTCCACTGCTTTTTGCCCTCCCTGCTCAGGGAGACCCGTTCTGCACCGAAATGCAATTTTTGCTCCATTCGGTTTCACTTTCTTCTCATGCCCTTCCAAACAGAACCCACGTGTTATCACACTAGCTCACAACACAGAGACCAGACTTACCCGGGGAACAGCGTGGCTGATTTTAGTGGAGTGAAGTAAGGTAAGTACATTAAATACAGTTAATGAAAAAGCTGCCAGAGGTGGTTTTTTTTTTTTTAAATGAAATTCACAGGCTGGGATTTTTGAGTTTGCTTTGTAATTGAGAAGATTGTTGCTAATCAGACAGTATAGTATTTTTCCTCAGAAGAGCATTACTGTCCTTTTTTGATTATGTTTCCAATATACAATATGGAACTTCTGTTTTGCCAAATGTGTGCTTTGAATCCCATAAAGATGACACACTGAGACAACTCCTGAGCCCAGCTATGCCCTCATTTGAAGGTGGTAAGCAGAGAGTGTGGAAAGAGAGCACTTCTTAATGCCCCCTGCCCCTCCTATGAGATGAAAGGACTTCACAGTGTCTAAATGGTCCCAGTTGGAAAGTGTCAACCAGCTGGAGCTCAGAGGTCTGCGAGTGCCAAGTGAAAGCCCAAGGTAGGAGAATTAAACTTCAGAACTGGGACGGGGTCCTGCAGATCCCAGGAAGGGGGAAGACTGCCGCCTGCCTGAAGCGGCCAAGTGGTGACTCATGGGACCAAGCACAAGTTCCTAAGGGCCTCAGAGCACTTGAAAACAAAGTGATCAACCTCAGGGAGTTACTGTTGGGTAACACATTGGGTGGGAACACTGGTAAGACGAGAGCCTCAGAGTCTTGCTATTCGTACAGTTACTTAAGGAGCAACACTAGCGAGAGAGGCAAACATGAGGGAGCACTAGGGAAGCTGGCTGTACATGCCTGTTCTGGCCCTGCATAGTCCCTCTTTCTCCCCTCAGGCCCGCTCTGCCCACTGTCCTTTTGCAGCAAGCCTCTCTTATGAGCTATCCACTCTGATCAAAACCCTTTGGCTTGGGGCAATTATGTCTGACTCGGGGCGGGGGAGGAGGGGTGGAAATCTCTGACATGATGCACCAGAGACTGAAGGCCTGATTATCCTCTGCTCAGCAGAAGAAGGGGGAGGGGGAACCAAAACCCCAAGCCTTAGATCTCTGACGCATCGAGTGGGTAGGATGGCAAGGAGAAGATGACAATACACTATGAGTAAGAAATTCAAATGCCTCCTACCTCAGCTGAGGCAAGATTTGCAATGCTCTTAATTAAGGATTCTCCTATTTACCTCAGTCTTGGAAAGCTCTATAGTGGCTACTGGCCATGCGTCAGATGCTTACCTTTTTGAAGGCTGTCTTGCTAATTCAGGACTAGATGGAAGCAAACTGGAAATCACTTATGCAGCTGCAGAGAGTGTGTATCTACCTGGAGAGCAGTTTTCACCCTTCTGTTTTATAAGGGAGAAAAGAAGATATTATTAGCAGCCAGCCTAACTATATAGACTGGCTAACAATGTTTTCTTTACAGGGCCGATTACTGAGTTGGGGCAGCTCGGATGGGTTAAGTTTGGCCTCCGCACACAGGACAGCCAGGTTCTGCTCTGATCCAGATCCGCAGTTACACAGCAAGCACTCAACTATTCCTTGCTTTCACCTTTCCTATGCTATAAATATCAGTGAGATTTTTGAACACATAGCACTGCTCAAAAAAAGTCTGAACTGCATTGTAGTAGGCAGCTGAAGGCAGCTGTACAGATCCGAGCAAGGTGCAGGCCCATTGTCACTCGGACGCAAAGCCACGGGAGGGAGAGGTCTATCTCAAAGGGGCAGCTTCTCCCTCCTCTCCGCCACCGAAGATACAGCAGTCTGGAAAAAAAGAGTGCAGCAAAACAGCTACTACACAGAAACGTTACTAGGGATTGATCTCAGCTATCCGTGCAGCAGTATGAAGAAAACAGGAAGACCTTCCTAGAACAGATAGCTGTGTTATACACTACGTACCAGCATGCATCTAGCTATTTATATAGACCACGGTCTTGGCTGTGTTCTCGCGGCTCTGTAACAGAAGCTCACCAGAGCGCTTCCAGCCTATTTAAAGGGAGATTAGTCAGCCTCTGCTAGTGCAATAGAGGTACCCTAACCCCTTCTGGTATTGCAGTCTGGTTCCCACTGGGACTTACATCCTAGTGAGTCCGGTTTAGGGCACAGCCCCCAGTGTTAGGTCCATCTGACAGGGTAGGGCAAGAGGGAAGTGGAAAAAAAGAAAAAAAAGAAAAAAAAGGAACTGGGGCTCCCCACAAAGCCCCGGTGCTTGGGAGAGACCAGGCTGCAGGAAAGGCTCCAAGACAGCGCTGTAGCACAGGGGTCCGGGAGGGGAACAGCCTATGGCACCCAGGTCTCCCCAGTCTGAACCTGTCATCTGCAGCCATCTTCTGTGCTCATCCTCTTTGCCTCTCCATGCAGGAGCACAGATCTGCGCAGCGTGGGTGTCACAGTACTCTTCTTTTCCTCTTGTTGCCAAATGGGGAAAGAGGGAAGGTGGGATGCTACAAGGCTGGGAATAGCTGCCATAGAAACAAGCCGGAGGTTGCTGGCCGCAGCGTCCTCGAGCAAAACCGAGGAACGCACTAGAGCCAAGTGACTCTGCCACCTATTCAGGGACTGTACAGGGATATGTGGGAGTGTGCACATATATATGCACGTACATGTATATAGACCCTGCACACAATGTGTGTATTATATACATATGTATATATACACAAAACACTATACATCAATCTGAACAGAGACTCTTCCATTTTTTCTTAAGTACACTTAGAGACAACATTCAGTTTCTTCTGTTTTCTTCTTAGGTGGATCCTCAAGTGGACACTGAGTCACAACAGTTTCCGATTTTCACACACACACAATCGGCAATGCAGAGTCTTAATATAAAGAACTTCAAGCTTATGTCAAGAATTTTAGTGCTGGCTTAGTTGCTTTTCAGGCCAGCTGAAAGGAACTGAGCCTTCTCTTAAACTCTACCCGTTGTCAAAGGCAAAAACATTAGGCACGCTCTCCTGAGTAAAGGAGAAGTAAAAAAAAAAAAAAAAAAAAAAGGGATCGTCAACAGGATAGCCACATGAAGACTGTTCAAAAGCTCATACTTTAGCACGGCAGGAATTCAAATCGTACATGCCCGTCCTCTCCGAAATTAACTTGCCAAGGGAGACATGGGGCCACGATGCTACTCTGTTCCTAAGCCCGACTGAAATACCATCCACCAGCTGGCCTGCAAGGAAGAAGGTGCTAGTGCTGTTGTAGCCAGGATGATCTAAGGACACAGGCAAGACACAGTTAGTAGACGATAGCAATATCTTTTGCTAGTCCAAGAGATGTAACTGGAAGAAAGAGACGAAGTTTGGGGAACACAACGCCTGAAACACAAGTGGGAGACTTCAGAGCTATGTACAAGTTGAGAAGAATTGCTCAGACCTGCATTGGTTAGATCATTTTTGGAAAAAAAAAAAAAAAAAGGAAGAAAGAGACGAAGTTTGGGGAACACAACGCCTGAAACACAAGTGGGAGACTTCAGAGCTATGTACAAGTTGAGAAGAATTGCTCAGACCTGCATTGGTTAGATCATTTTTGGAAAAAAAAAAAAAAAAAAAAAAAAAAACGGGGCTTGGGGGTCTAGCCTGGGGGCTAGGGGGAGCCCCCTGCACTGCGCTCCAGCCCCTCACCCGCAGGCAGGGAAGAAGAAAGGCAAGGTGGAAATACATAAAAGAAGGGGGGAGTTAAGCTGGAGGAAAACATTCCTCACAGAGTTTTCAAGTTATCCAGCTACAGTGATTTCCAAAGCAGAGCGTTTCTAGCACACAAGAGAAGCTGAAAGAAACGTAGTTGTCAAGAAACAAATCTATGACGAGGCTGAGGTCTGGAAAGAGTCCGAGTGGCAGTCAGGGGTAGGTGCTGGTGGGCACCAGCAGGGGATACCTGTTCCTGCCACTTCTGCCCTCCCAG